GTTTGATAGCAGATTTTCAAATTTGTAAGAGTACGACATGTTTATGCAGGATAATAGCATGATATTATATGATGTAAGAAATAAAACATGTAAAAATTAATTATTTCAGCTTTTTCGTTAATTTTATTGTTACGCTTATATTTAATTTATTAATTTATTTTTTATTATTCTGCAAGAACCATTTCTAAAGTTGATTGGACATTGATATTTTTTTCAATTTCAATTTATAATTTTGTAATTTAATTTCTTGTATAATTCTTGAATCTAAAATGAGTATATATCAGTGTATTGAATCTAAAATGAGTATATATCAGTGTTTACACGATTTCTACCAAATAAATCAGTTGAAGTGCATGATTTGAGTTGGTAGTTTACTGCACCTAATAAAATTAAAATTATTTGAGGAAAAAAAACACATATTAATATAATAGAATTAGTTGGAAAATTCCTGCGATTAATGATTAGGTGACGTAAGAAATAAAAAAAAAATACTCCCTCCTATTCGTTTTATTTGTCATTTTAGCTTTATTGATCATTAATCAAATAAATGACGTTTTGAATCTTTTATACATATTTTTCCATTGTTACTCTCATTTAACTAATGCACTACACATTTTGGGAGGAAAATTGTGGAATACATGAGTTTTCTCCCATAAAAGAACATAAAAAAGTTGAAAAGAAACAAATTAATTAATGTTAATTTGCTTTAAATAAGGCTAATATTTGTGAGAAAAAACTTCTTAATTTGTATGTTAAAGTACAAAACGACATTTGAAAAAAATAGGAGGTAGTATATACTGTAATATATGTAACTGTTTTAGGCGGAAATTGAAAGTAATAAAATTAAATGTTGAAATTTTAGGCGGAATAATATAATTAAATGCAAGACAATAAAATTAAATGTTGTTGCTACAAAATCGTTATATAGTTGCTAGTTTAGCAATCACTAGAGGTGTGATTGGATATAAACTCTACAGTAAAATCAATCAAAAATCAAATTCAACTCAATTTTAACCCAACACCACTATCAAATCAACTTTATTTATTTTATTCTAAATATTATTTTAATATACCAATTGACATCTAACCATATCACCCTTTTTCAAAATTAACTATGGTTTAAAAAACCAATAAAAAAACTAATCAAATTCATATTCCATCACACACTAAACACTTGAAGTTTTGAACTAGCCACACCGAATTCAAGCATATGAATTTGAGTCTATCTGAAGCCGATCTAAAACATTTCATTATTTTCATTGAGTCGACCCGAGAACTAAAATCGATCTCAAAATCAGTTCGAGCGCAAACAAGGGAACAACTAGATTTTTTTTCACCCTAGGCTGCAATACGTGCAAACCAAATATCTGATCCAGTAACTAGGTCTGTAAACGAGTCAAGCCGAGCTCTAGCTCGAGGCTCAGCTTGTTAAACGAGCCTTAAATCGAGCTTGAGCTCGAGCTCGGCTCGTTTTTCACTAAGAACGAGTCGAGTCCGAGCCTTAATGACCCGATCTCGAGCTTTAATGAGCCAAACTATAAAAAATTATATAAAAAATCTATTTTCGAGCTTTAACGAGCTTATCGAGCCTAACCAAGCCTGGTCGAGTTGAGCCCATTAACCAAACGAGCTTTAAATGAGCTCGAGCTTGACTCGTTTAAACAAGCGAAGCCGAACTTGAGCCAAGCTAGGCTCTTTTAATTTAACAGCACCACCGGTAACATAGTTCAATTCAACTTATGAAAGGTCGAACTCGATTCACTTGTATATTTAAATGAGCTAAATTTAAACAACTAATCATGTTTTTTCTATCAAACAAGTCGAGTTGAACGTGTTCGCAATTGATTAGATTAGAATTTTGGGTTGTGGTCAAGATTTAAAAGTTTATTAAACGAATGAGTTTAAACGATCCTAACTTGAGCACATGTTTATATTTGTTTATTAAATTTGTTTACTCATGGCAACTCGTTTATTAAATGTACACGACACCATGAGACGGTATATTAATCGCTTTATTCTTATTGTATGACATATCATTTAAGGCAAAAAATTCATATATCATTTCATTGTATATGTTACGTAAATAAATGAGAGTTGACATTAAATTTTTTATATACCGACATACAATTTATTTAAAAAATCAAAAGAATATATAACTAAATTACAAAATCAATAAATTGAACTGCATACTAAATATTCTAATGGAAGTCTAGCGCAAGCAACTATTGTTTCGAATTACTTTATTCAATAAATTTTATTTAACTAAATAATATAATGTAAACACAAAAAGAAGACGAAAAATTACGAAATGAGCTAAAGACTATATAATTCATTGATTTAATTTATAAATATAATTTATTTTGGGCCAAAATAATATTAATTCGTGACTACTCTCAGGGACGGAACCAAAAATTTTTTTTGGAGGGGACTAGAATTATAATTTGACATGAATTATTTGCGAATATAACTCGAATTGACTGTGAAACTCGAGCAACCAATTGAATTTGAGTATTAAATGAATCGATATCAAGCTCACATTTTTTATTTCGTTTATATAACGAGTCATTCCAAATATCCAACACATTTATTTAACAAACATGAGCTTGATCATGAGGTATTCAACTCGACTCCAATAATACCTAAAAGGAATATACAATATTTAATAATGTCACATAATATATACATATAAAGCATAAAGTTTCATTCTAAATTCGATATCATAAATTTTAAAAAAATATTTTACACTAGACATTACTTTTGAGATTTAGTATTTTAAATTTGTCAACATTATTTCAAACCAAGAGACTCATCAACAGTTGACTCTATACTAAAAAATCTTGCAATGTCTTTTTAACTCTCTATTTAAAATTATCCATTTTCAACTTTTCACATATATTTAGTATTTTAAATTTGTGTTCGACATTATTTCAAACCAAGAGACACGTCAACAATTGACTCTATACTAAAAATCTTGCAACGTCTTTTTAACTCTCTATTTAAAATTATTCATCTTCAACTTTTCACATATATTTCTTACATTCTGTTTAATTCATCACTATATTATAAAATAAACCCACAAATATTATGTTTCAAGATTGTGAAAATTACTTACAAAAATATAATATTGTTAAAAATTCTTAATACATAGACCATTTTAATAAGTAGTGATCATTATGGGGTATATGTATAAATTGCATAAATGAATATATACAGTATATATTGTACATGGTAAAAAAATAGCAAAATTTCGGCAAAATGCCTATATATATAGTAAAAGTATTTAAAAATTTGGGGGGGACAATGCCCCCTAATCAACACTTAAATCCACCTCTAACTACTCTAATATAACATGGTGATAAATTATTTTTGACTAGTATACATTTAGATGTTCTAAAAAATTAAGATCGGATTGGGGACCATCTCAGCCTCTGGGATGGCTCCGCCCCTGAGCGCGAACAATACTTAAGGGCATGCTTGTTTATGAAATAATTTATTTCACACTCAAAATCTAACTCAACTTTAACTCAACCCCACTATCATTTATATTATTTATATAATTAAATATTCTAAACCAATCATTCTTACATATCACATCAACTTTAATTCACTATTCATCCACTAACATAATTTTAACTACCTATCATTTCCAATCATTTATATCCTACTTTTACATCAAATTATTAGTAATCATTTTATTTTAAATATTATTTTAATATATTATTAAAATCTCACTAACAATTAAGCATACTACATTTTTCAAAATTTAACTCTAATTAAATAAAATAACTCATTTTGAACCCTAAAAACAATCGAGCTCAATTTGGCAAGGTCACTACTTGACATGGCACGACTCATTTTCGGTTGACACAACACCCAAAATGATTCCATCTTGGATTTTAGGGGTGGGCACGGTCCGGGACGGTCCGGGATTTGACCTGTCCCAGTACCTGTCCCGGTTTTTTGAACCGGTCCGGGACGACACCTCGTCCCAAACGGATCGGTATAAATCGGGACCGGGACAAAACGGTTCGAGACCGGGACAAAACGGGAAAAAAATGTTCAAAAATCAAACTTCAAACAATTCCCTATTTCACTTCAAAAAAAATAAATAAATAAAATAAACTTTGATTCCATTCAAAGTTGCAATCAAGAAAAGCATTGAGAAGCATTGAACATTCATTGGTCGTAAATATAAATGTGTTTGTTAATTGTTAATGTTTATTACTTTATTGTTTAATGTTTTAATTTTTTGGGTCAATTGTCTTAACAGACAAAGTAAATTGGCCATTGGGTTTTCTTTTCATTAATTAAAAAAAAAATCTGTTAAGATTTTTGTACAAAAAAAAAAGCCTATTAAGATTTCATAAATAAATATACATTAATGTACAATATATATAATATTTTTGTACAAAAAAAGTAAAACGGGACAAACGGGACGGTTCGGGAAAAAAATATTAAAAACCGATACCGACATTGTTTCAACCGGTTCGGGACCGGGACCGGGACGAAAATTTTAAAAACCGATTGGAACCCTATTTTTTCGGAACGGGACCATTTCGGTCCGGTTCGGGAACGGGAAATCCGGTTTTTTTGCCCACCCCTATTGGATTTGTGACAATTGAAGCAACTCCAAGCTTGTAACTACGATTAAGTGACATCCATTTTCATAATAAACAATTTATTTATTGCGTACGATCTTGGAAAGGTTAATTTATAGTAATATAATAACAATAATAATAATAATAATCATTAAAAAATATAGATAGTTCCCCGAAACAACTGCCGGCACACCAAAGCGTCTAGCAGACGCTACAATCATCCGTCACCATCCGCGTGCCACGTGTACTATTTCGGTGGGCCCAACCACTAGGCGGCGGCCGTATCCAGTCAAAGCAATCGTTGACCGCCCCACACGCGCCTCACATAACCCGACCCGACAATTTTTTCCCTCTATAAAAACAGAGGCCTCGCACGACTAAAAGCGCACATCCAATTGGCCATTAATTTATCGGCACAATTTTTTTCCCCAAATTACGTAATCTGAATTCCACTTTTGGGAAGGAGTGTGTCGGATAATGGTGAAGGAGAAGGCCACCGACGGCGGAAAGGACAGCGGCGTCAAGGAGGTCCGCTACCGCGGCGTAAGGAAGCGGCCGTGGGGGCGCTACGCCGCCGAGATCCGCGACCCGGGGAAGAAGAGCCGCGTATGGCTCGGCACCTTCGACACCGCCGAGGAGGCGGCGCGTGCGTACGACGCCGCCGCACGTGGGTTCCGCGGCCCCAAGGCCAAGACCAACTTCCCCCTGCCTCTCACTCTGCCCTCCGCCGCAGCGTACAGCCCCAGCCAGAGCAGCACCGTTGAGTCATCCAGCGGGGACCTCACCCAGCGCGGTAACCTCGTGGAGCTCGATCTCACGCGCCGCCTCGGCGCCGCGGCGGAGCGCGGGCCGAGCTCCGTCCCCGGATGGCGGCCGATTTTCCTGTTCGACGCGATGGCGCAGCAGCGGACGGCGGCGGCGAGTTTCGGGTTCTTCCCCCACGGCGGCGTGCGGTGGAGCGAGTCGGACACCTCGTCGGTGGTGGATGAGAACCATGTCGACGGATCTGATGTTAAGAAAGGGCTGAATCTCGATCTGAACATGCCGCCGCCGGTCGAAGCTTGAATGTCGGCGAAAATTGAGGAGATATAACTGACAATTGAGGAGATATAACTGACAATTGATCTGTAAATAAGCTTTAAGAAAGATGGATCCCTTGTTTTTTTTCCAGCTGAGATTTATTTTCTCTGGTTGTTACAAATTAGTATAATTGAGGACAGTTATAATTAGGGTTTCCGTCAATTTTCCGTCTTTCTCAATTTCAGAGGAAAAAGGATACCAAGAATTCAAAGTTTTTTTTATTTTTTTTTTACTTTTTTTTTGGAGTAAAAATCGATGTTAATTGATCGGGATTGCATCAGATCTGAAATTAGAGGAATGGCGTAATATTAAGTGCAGTTTTCTTTGAATTATTATCCTTAATCTCTATTTTACATGGATTTTACTTTTTAGTTTTATACAAAGATGAATTGAGGTCATCTCCTTCTTTTGAAGTTCACTTATTTATTTATCAATATTATAACTAACAAATTTATATCTTTTTTGAATAAACTTATTTATTAATATTAATGAGTATATTTATAAATTTACATAAGCATTCCTGTTTCCATACCTTGACAAATTAAGCTTATCCTGAAAATTTATTTATCTATTCCTATTTTCAAAATTTGACAAATTAAGTCTTATATGTGTTATTTATTAAATGAGTCGAAACGAGTCAAATTCACGTCTAACTTGTGATATATGATAGGTTGATAATATGTTACTTAATTTGCTTCACATTAATGATTCCTTATTAGTATTTAAACTAATTGAAATGGAATGTTTTGCAACATCTTATCGAAATGGGATATGTGCGAAAATAAGTCTACTGGTTTAGTAAATAACAAAATATATTGTTATAATTAAATCAAGATGATATTTTAAAATAAAATATGATAATATAAGTATTTTTTATATTAAATAAAACGGATGATAAAATATGATATTAATAATCGGGTGGCAGCAATGGGGCCCACAAAGACCTACGAATTCCGTGTTGACTGTGTACATGTCGTCCCTAAGGTAGACGCCACGTGTGACCTCTTTGCCTTGGCCTTTGCTTGCTTCCCGCCCATCATAATTTATTGCACTTTGGGACCTTTTCTATCTTTTATTGTTTTCCTTGACTTTCACCACAAATTTATCAAGGGTCAAGGCTATATTGAGGATGACATATCATGGTGCTCAAATCAAGTTTGAGATAATACAAATGTAGTAAACTTTTGTGGTTTGACACTTTAAATCAATTTAGATATGAGATACTATAACGGGTCGACTTGATCCAAGAAATAATATGACTGAACTGAGTAAATTGGTTGGTCCAATCGAGACTGAAGGCACTGTAATCATCAGGTCGATGAGGATGTCGCAGATCCAAAGAGCACAGACAGATTAAGTTAGGGCATTTGAATGGCCTAGTTGAAACTCGTCCTGAAGGCATGACTGGTCGATGGATCGACCAGATGAACAGAGCAAATGAGCTTAACATATGCATCACTCTACATCGAGGTAATTTGAGTCGGTCGCACGATTACCGTCTAATAAGGCAGGGAAGAAGAAATATTATTAAGATAAAAACCATAGGTAGATGGGGTCAAGTGGCCTGACAGAATTGGGCAGTTCGAACAGTCTGGACATCACATCCGAGCAGTCTTATGTAACAATGTAACACACCTCTATATAAAAGGGGTGAGGTATGTCAATTGTAACATTACACTCTCTACATACTTACTGCAACTCATATATATATTTCATCGCTTTCTCCGTTCATATTTTGATTTAAGCATCAGAAGCTCTACGTTGGGAAATTCATCGGGCGTTGAATTTGTGCCGACATTGAAGATACTCAAATGGCAACAAAGGCAGGTCAACTCGAACCAAACTGATTGAAGGTCTTTTTCATACCAAACATTATAAATCAATAATTCGTAAACTTCCACATCATTTATACCACCCGGTGTGTCAAAATATATCCAAGTAGCATAATTCTATTGACGATAGCTTCCCTGAAGTTGATTAGTACTTTTAACTAGTATACTACATGGTTATTAAATTAAAAAATATTTGCATAAAAAATTAAATAAAAGTAATAATACTATAAAACTAGCCAGTACACTATCAGTTTTATTTAACATCGCATATCAATAAGTACTATTCCGTGATACTCTTTATATAATAAGATACGTTTGAAAGAAAAAAAATGTAAAATACACAACTTAGGCCAACATAAATTAAAATAATAAAGTATGTTGATGTTCTTATAAGTAAGTTTACATGTTAACATCTAATTAAAATAGCTAATTTTACCAAACACTTTTTTATAAACCGCTAACACGATCAGGTGGTCAAAAGAGAACTGCTGACAAATAGCTAATACAATCCGCTAACAACTAAAGAGGACCGCTGAATCGCTGATTACCAAAAAATGTCATAGTTTGAGACGAATGGGGTATATCTCAAAGGGGTTATAATCCCCTACGCCTGTACATACGGGATTTTGACCATCCGATAATACGCATTCACATATTTGACCATTTGATTATATGCATTCATATACATTCGTACAAATACGTGTTGATCCAACGATTAAAATACGGGATTTTGACCATCCGATAATACGCATTTACATATTTGACCATTTGATTATATGCATTCATATACATTCGTACAAATACGTGTTGATCCAACGATTAAAATTCCCGACTTCACCCTCAAATTCCAGTGCCTATCTATTATAACAAGAAGATTAAGCCCATTAAGTATTGTCCAACCAAAATAGTCCATTTTAAACAAGTCAATTGACAAAGCTATGAATTGGGCCATGTCCCAGAATTATGTTTCTCAATATGTAAGGCTTTCGGTTGGGCCTGTGTTGGTTCAGTACCCAAATTGAAACAGCTGACCAATGAGAGAATAATTTGCAATTTAAAAAATGATTAATTGTCAAAAAAATCACAACCTTTTACTTAAATGCAAATAAAACTCAACTTTTTAAATTTTATAAAAAAAAATAAAAACTTTTATTAAGTATTGCATAATTGTCTCAAAACTGAATTCCGGCGAATGGGGCGCTGACATAGCAGTCGGAAAAATGACGTGGCACCTAAAATGTAATTTTCAATGCCACGTCATCAGACACGTCAACCTCCAACATTTTCTCAGAAAAAAAAAAAAAGATTTACGCGTGTGCGAGTCGCAGCAGTCCGCCCGGAGTGAAAATCGAAAACTTGACGTGAAAAGATTTACACGTCAACCTACAAATCGGAAAATTAACGTGACCCGCAGCAGTCCGCCGAGAGTGACCAGCCTCTGTGCGAAAGCTTCACGAACAGCAGCCCTCCTTTCCGACGACCACCATGAGCGAGAGCCTCCGAGATTTACACTTGTGCCACCGTGAGAGGTCGAATTTCCTGCCAGGTTCTATCCGTGTATCACCTTCACGATCGAGCAGCCTATCGCCAGCGTCATCCGCCTCCAGTGCCGCCGTGTGTGAGCCACCGGCTACCCGGATCTGTTTGATTTTCCCGACGGCCAGCCACAACAAGGTTCGACCACCCGCTGAGTCGAACTTTTGAATCGCCGCCAAAAACCGACGGTTCTCGTCAAGTCAATCTGTCACCGCACCACGTGCAAGCCGAGCCTAGCGGCTGCCGCACGTCGCCGATTCACCTAGCCGCCGCCTGGTTCTGCTCTCCTCCAAGGTTTTCCAGTTCAGGCCGCCACCTCTGGCCACCGACGATGGTTGTCGGGAGTTCTGAGCGAGGGCGTGGAGAAGAGGAATGGAATCGAGAATTTGAGGAAGGAAAAAGAAGAATTTGGGAAGAGGAGAGAGAATTGGGGATCTGGAGAAGAAAAAAGAAAAGAAGGGAAAAGAACAAGGATAAAGAAAAGAAAAAGGAAAAATAAAAGAAAAAGTGATTTGGTGCCACGTCATTTTTCCGACTGCCATGTCAGCGCCCCATTGCTGGAATTCAGTTTTGAGACAATTATGCAATACTTAATAAAAATTTATATTTCAAAATTTAGAAAGTTGAGTTTTATTTGCAGTTAAGCAACAGGTTCTGATTTTTTTGACAATTAACCTTTTAAAAAAATATATACATGGTACAATTAATATTGAGTGCAAAGATGAATTAGCTTCATAAAATATGTTTTGCAGTGTGATAATGTTTGGCATCTAATTGAGTTCCTTTACCTAATTTCCAAGTTTCTGTAGGCAGTAACATGGAGCAGGTAAGTTTTTTTTTTTTTCTTTTTAAGGAACTTTTTAATAAAAATAATCCANTTTATTTATAACATCATCTTGACCAAATTAGTTTTTGCAACAAACATGGCAAATATATGTAACAATTTAGTAAAATCATTTTATCATTTCCATAATCGATTACAAATTAGTTTCCGAAAATTTGCCTTCGGACCAAATAAGAATAAGAAAAATTAGAGGGCAAAATGTCGTATGGACCCATCACCTTTATGTTTTGAATGTCCGCCACGTGTCCCGTACTTGCGTATCGTGGCAGTAGCGCCGTGAGTGAGTGAGTGACAGTGACGTTATCTTCAGTATCCATTCCTTCGCAATGAGGAAAATATTCAAGAGTAGAAACCATTTTCGCAAGTAGAATTTTATCTTTTACTAGTATTATATGTGTATTTATTTATAATTATACTATATGTATATTATTTATAATTAGTATTATATTTTATATGTAAAATTTATTTATGTTAGAATATCACTTGTGAGTTGTCCCACATTGTTCATGCATGAAAAATAGACTTACCTTATAAGTCTAATGAGCTATTATTCTTTCCATCAATCGATTTTGAGATGGAACTCACTTGGGCTTCATCTGAGTTTTTCCCGCTTATGGTGCGCTTTATGTTAGTAGGACCGCACTCATTTTCCTCCAGTTTCTATCATGGTATCGACTCTATTAGTGACCGTGCGATGACATACTCGTCACCAAGTTCAGATGGGCTTGGACTTTCGAAGGACTCACAAGTGAGAGAGAATATTACATGGAAAATAGACTCACTTTATAAGTTTAATGGACTACTCCTCCTTCTACCAATTGGTTTTGGGATGTAACCTCACTTGGGATTGATCATGTTAGTGAGGCCGTATCTGTTTTTCTCCATTTTTTGTCAATTTATAATTATAATAAATTAATTTAAACTTATTATTACACTCGAGACCGAATCCAAGTCTCCATAAGGAAAACAACGTCCGGATCTTCAAGTCTCACCAGATCGAAAGGAAACGAGAAACTCTTCGGGTGAACAAATTGCTTGAAAGAGAAGATTTAGCTTTATATGATATGCCCGGAATGGTAGGTTTTATCTCCTTCGGGTAATAGTAAACGAGGATGGCATCGAATTCTGTTGGAGCACGGGAAAATGCCCTCTTAGCGGGAAGAATTGGATAAAGAAACTGTTTAGGCTATCCCATATTAGAACAAGATTAAGAACTTTGACTTTGATTTTCATTTTAGTAGCGGAAAGCCCTATTGAGTTAACTGCCCCTATGGAAGCTGCTTGAATTGAATATCCTAGGACTAAAGGGCGAGCCAACCTTCCACTTTCCTGGTCCACCAGCAAAGACATCCCCTTCGGGTTTTAGCTTACGCCTTATCTTTCCTCATCTAGTTTAAGAGATTTGATTTCGCTAAAATGAGTGAAACTCCGGTCTTGGTGGTAGGGAGAGGCTCGACTTCAAAGAGAGGATAGATGTAATTTAGATGTCAATTGCATAACCGGGGTAGTACCAATAAGTTCAGGAAGAACATTTTTATATATGATTTATAAGTGAATAACTTGTAATTATATACATATTATATTACATAAGAAAAAAGTTAAGTATTTTTTCTGCAGTCAAACTTAATACAGTAATTAAACTTAAGGAAGATTTTACAGTCCTGTTACAAAATTAAAATTGATAATCATTAGATCAACTATCCACGATAGTTATATAATTGTCTAACGATTACAAATTCCGACGATATAATTCAATAACGAGATTGTAGCATTTTTCACGACAGTTACATGATTGTCTAATCATTAGAAATTCCGAGGGAATAATTCAATAACGAAATCGTAACATTTTTTTAAACTTGTAACATTTTCCTAAACTTAATACACTGATTTGCAAATTAGTGCATAATACCATAGATCACAACTATTTTACAAACAAATTACTCCACAACTTAAAGACATGAACAACTTTTTAAATTTTAATCATTAACTCAAACACAAAACATCCCAAATCAAGAAAACACAATACTTAATTAAATAGNATCAACAAGTACTAAAACAACAATCCTACAAACCAATCAAAACCCCACAATCATCAATCAACTCTTCTGCCTATACATACACATTAGCTTCTGTTTATATATATAGGCCACGGTCGATTATTCATATATACATGGAAAATTCCATACCATCTTAATTCCCTTCAAATCTGAAATCTCAATAGTTTCTTCATCTTATTATTATTATAATTTTATTTCAAATTAAGTGAGCAGATCATTAACCCAGCCCAGATCTGGCCCACACTCGTTGTTGCCCATGTTATTGTTATACGAGCAGTCATCTTCCATCGTATTCCTCCCGGAAAAATCCCCACGGCCCAACCTTACCGGGCCCATTCTCCCCCGGCCCAACCCAAAATCCACATCCGGCCCAAGATCCACATTCCCGGCGGCCACGTTCATGGCCTCGATAGCGGCCATCACCTCCATATACCTCGCCGCGTCGAGATCTCGGAAAAGGGAAAACTCCGGCGACGACGACGGTGAAGGGGAGGACACGTGGTGGGCCATCAGCGGGCAGCAGCGGCTGACGTGGCTGCAGCAGGATCTGACCGGGGCAGGAGCCTCCTCTTCCTCCTCGTCCTCGTCGGGAACTAGTCGGAGCTGGCGGGAGGAGTGGGCGAAGAAGCAGATCTTGCGGCGGCAGCCGCGGCCGTCCTTGCAGGCCTCCGTCCGATAGCGGGATGGGTGGAGCCAGCACTCGAACACGCCGTGGGAGAGGTTGCAGGCGTCGCCCCTCGGGCAGGCGCCGCCGCGGAAGTCCGGACAGGCGGCGGCGGAGTAGCGGAATCGGCGGGGGTCGCGGCGGCGGGCCTTCTCGCCTGGGTGGGCGAAGGGGCAGTCGGTCCAGACGTGGGTGCGGCTGCGGCCGCACTTCCGGACCTTGAACTCGTACATCCGGAAGTGGTCCGACGAGTAGGGGTGGTCGTCGTCGGAGTCCGAGCCGGAGGTGGAGTTCCGGGGGAGGAACCTCGAGAGGGCGGCGGCGGCGGCGCCGCCGGAGGGTGAGAAGGGGAAGTGGTTTTCTTGGTCGGAGGCGGCGGAGGAGGGGCGGCGGCGGGGTGAGTTGCGGGGAGAAATATCGAGTTCTCGGAGGGCCCAAATGCTACTCATTATATTTGCTTTCTTTTCTTTGTGTTGAATTTGGTGTGGAGAAATTGGGGAGATGGGATTAGGGTTTTATATCGGTATAGGTGGGGTCCACAAGGAGTGTGACGAGGACAGTGTGAGGGGGGTACGTGGCGGGACAGCATTAGGAGGTGTCAGGGTACGTGGCGGATAGTGAGGCCACTGTATTTTGCATGCTCGACGCACATGCTTTTGTTCTCTCGATTTTCAGTTTTCTTTCACCACCACCCCCATCGAGTTTTATTTAATTTCAATGTGGTTAAACTTTTTTCTTTTTTTGCCCCCTACTGTCGTTCATATAAATTATTACACGTTAGTGCTCTGAACCGGCTCGATAAGCAAAGAGACACGCCACTTCATAATGGAAATTGGGCTCACATAAGTTTAGGCCCAATTTATGGAAAGAAAAGCCCAATTACCTGCATGAGTATGATCAGTCATGTGTCGATCTTCCTTCGAGTCTGAGCATTGATCTACTAGCTAACTTTTCAGTGTGGATAAGAATCGATAAAGCAAACTGATAAAGTAATCGGTCAATCCTTCGAGTCTGAGCATTGATCTACTAGCTAACTCTTCAGTGTGGATAAGAATCGATAAAGCAAACTGATAAAGTAACCGGTCAATCGGTCTCATCATTAAAAGATGAGTTTTTGAATAAGGACGCGTGTGATTTCTCCATGCCCTTAGTTGGCACGGAATCATCATTGTTTTTATTTTTTATTTTTTTCATGTATAAATTCAACCTTTGAATCTTTAAAAGACACATTTAAAACTTATTAATAAAACACAACTACTCTTTTTTCTCTTATTCTGCTAAATTAGTTTTATGCCGATTTCTTTATACTAATTGACGGTATATTAACTTATGTCTACACTTTAAAGCTCCATGGTCAGAAGAACAAAATGAGGTATGGTTTGTCGATTTTTGAAAATTGATACCTCGCTAATCGATCAATGAAGATAATAGGAGCACCTAAGTATAACAAAAATTTCAATTCAAGTTTCTGATAATCAAGGTATCCTACTTTCTATTAATATGTGTCATTTGAAAGCTTGGAAGACGAGTTTTCTAACGAAATAAATCTTATGAAAAATTCAACGGTCGGATTTTGGTTAGTAGCATAAAAAAATGCTAGCTATTCATAAGATTAATATAAGATTAATGCATTAGAAAATTGGTGTTGCAAGCTTTCAAATGACACCTCCCAATCAAAAATCGGATATCTTCATTATCAGAAAACTTGAATTGAAATTTTTTCTATACACACGTGCACCTACTATCTTTGTTAATCGATTATAGATGTATCAATTTTCATAAATCGACAAAATATACCTCATTTTGTTCGTCTCGCCATGGGCTTTAAAAGCCCTAAATCAATTTTAAAGATCCATCTAAAATTTGCGTTAATTGAGATAATTTTTTTGGTGCCATATTAGAGTTTCTAATCGAGGAGGCAAATTGTTAGTTTCGATTACTATGGGAGACAAATTGTCAAGAAAAAAAAGTTCATAAGACAAACTCTAAAAATCGGCATAGTTGGGGAGGTTAAAAAAAGTTCCCTTTGAATTTTGATATGCTTTTTATAAAAAATCCAACATGCATCAATATTTAACCATAATATATATTTTATTCTAAACCAACTTTAGAAAATATATAAATAGATCAAAAATTCATATAAGACTAAATTTGTGCAACTAATGATGGAAATTTGATATCCAAATAGAATATAATATAATTGTTTTCTTAAGTATTTCTTTAACTTTGTAATACCATTTTAATTATAAGATGGAATAAGACTAAGAAAATTATTACACATATAATATAAATATATTTTTTAATTGATTGTGGATCAAGTATAATTAAACATGAAATTTAAGTGAAGTTTAATTGTTATTATTATATGTTATTAAGTATTCTAAAAATATTCAAATTATATAGGATTAAAGTTGATATAAAATCTTTGAACAAGACACATCTAATTCTTAATTTCGGTTCTTCGGATCAGTATGGTATGAGATAGTTCGGTTCAACACTCGGTACAAATATTTGTGAAATTTCTAGAACTGTACCAATTATTTTCAGTTCAATTTGAAGAGAGTCAAACATTTAACGTAATAAATTTCTAGAACCATATTAATTATTTTTTCAGTTCAAATCAAAGAAAGTTAAACTGTTAATGCTTACTATTCGGCTCCGAGTGAATTTGGAACGGTTTTTTGTATTTATTAGTAGATTTCCGAACCCGTTGTTCAACCTTATTATGAATAGATATTAAATTAACAATTTAAATCAAGGCCGTTCATTTGCCTTTCATATTAGCCGTACATACCACTTCATCATCCTCCTTTGTCAACCAACTCGCGCAGAACAGCCTTATCTGGTTCTCTCCGGCAGAGGAGCCCTTCAATCCACTTGTACAGAGCCGGCGCCGGTGAGTTCATTGTATTAATCTCTTTTTTCTCAACTTCACGGCCTCTTATCTCCTTGTTGTTGGCTGTCTAACCAATGAAGTTTATAGAATTCCCTGCTGTACCTCGCAAGCTCTGTCTCTCTGTCTCTCTCTCTGACACACACACACGCGCGCACATATACATAATTACAGCTATTTCCGAAAATGTGCTTTAGTTGAGCACTGCAATGTAGATTCTTTACGGTCCTGCGATTTGAGAAAATGTTGGTTTGCAATTAGATGAAATGTGATTATTAAAGAGATTGCAACTGGGTTTGAAGTCCTTATTTTCCAAGTTGGTTCTGTCACATTTTCATAGCCGGAGGGATAATCGGCAGCATGCTCTAGGATAGATTTTTCTGTGTCATTCTTTTGTTACAGTAATGTAAAATGTTGACGAGGATGTCTCGATTCT